GGTTAGTCAGGCATGACTTGCCCATGCTGACTGTTCCTGATCACTTTCCTCTCCTCTAAGTGCTTCAGAATTGATTCCTTGAGGACCTGCTCCATGATTTTTCCAGGGACTGAGGTGAGGCTGACTGGCCTGTAGTTCCCCGGATCCTCCTCCTTCCCTTTTTTAAAGATGGGCACTACATTAGCCTTTTTCCAGTCATCTGGGACCTCCCCCGATCGCCATGAGTTTTCAAAGATAATGGCCAATGGCTCTGCAATCACATCCGCCAACTCCTTTAGTACCCTCGGATGCAGTGCATCCGGCCCCATGGACTTGTGCTCGTCCAGTTTTTCTAAATAGCCCCGGACCACTTCTTTCTCCACAGAGGGCTGGTCACCTCCTCCCCATACTGTGCTGCCCAGTGCAGCAGTCTGGGAGCTGACCATGTTTGTGAAGACAGAGGCAAAAAACCTCCATTCAGGGCCAAAATATTGAGAGAACAGGTCATAAGCTTTCAACACTGCTGAATCTAAGCATTAGAAGTGGTTGAGTCTCAAACCTGAATCACAAAGCACAGCCTAAATCTAACAGAGAGTGAACCAACCCCCACTTTGCCCATTTCCAGTCTCTAGACCCATTCAATCCCCTTTTCCTTTCTGTTTGTGCTCCTGACAAGAGTACCAAGTATGATGCAGGAAACTTCATAATAGAAACTAAACTGAAGGCACTTTCTTCTAGGCCAATAAACTGCTATCAGATGATAATAGTCACTAACGACCTGCTCTGAATTTGAATTTATGACCAAGAAGTGAAAGGCAACACATGATTAATAATCCCTATGATGTAAATCCCGTATGATTTAAAACCCCTTGATTTCTTGTGCAGTTAAAGGGTCTGATCCAGCTCCCATTGAAATCAGTGGGCATGTTTCCACTGATTTCAGTGAGAGCTGCATTAAGCTGCATTGTTGTTGCCAGATTGAATGGGAAAATGTAAATGTAATGTTCAAAACATGACCATCCTCCCAGTGACTAAGTGTATACTAATCATTTAATCAGTTATACATAGAAACCCTTTATTAAAGTCTGTCTCTTACACTTGTTTTAATTTTGGATCTGTTCATTAGATGCAAGGCTCATTTAACTTGTACATAATTATGAAATATTCACACTCATCAAATACTGCTTTAATAGTATTTTGCATGTAGGATGTACAGTATTAATTACAGCATTAATTCAGTTGACCAAAGCTTTACTGCGTCCAACTCCACCCCAATGGTCCCTTTGAGGATCTGGGCCCCAGGTCCCATAATTTAATTTCATTTAAAAACTGAACTGTAACAAATACCAGTTAATGGGTGTTAATACTAGAAAGACATGTTTTAAATAACAGATACTCTGTTTGAAAAGCTGTCAGCATGTACATACTGTGGACCAGTTATAAGAATTTCAAAAGTGTAATTAGGATAGACAAGCAACCAACCACCCAAACTGGTTGTGTACCAGAATTGGTCTTTAACAGTAGGTCAGACAAAATTACAATGGAAACCTTGCAGCTAATTTAAAGTGGTTACTTAAGACAGGGGAGCATTGGACACCGTCTTCAGAGCAGGTTTCGCTGCATGTTTGAAAAATGTTCCTGAATATATATGAATTTGAGAGTCCAGTTTATCCCTGAAGGAGCCACTTTAATCTCCAAGTAAATGATTTCTATTTTCTAATCTCTTTTCCCCACACCTCATCTTTAGCCAGTATTTTCTTTCTTTCAAAAATGAAATTAAAATGTAAGAAAGAAACTTTACATAATGCTTAGGGCTTGTCCTAAGGTAACAAAAGCCAGGAAAATCAATGCTAAGACTGACATTATTGGAGCAGGAAAGGGAGGAAAGTCTTATAATTGGGTATGAGTGACTAGAAGCAAATTTGAGATACTCCTGTATCCTAAATTATAGAGAGACACAGACTGAAATTTCCACAGCTGACTTCCATCGTTTCCTTCTTCCTCTTATTAGACTCAATTATGCTCTGAAATCTGGTACAAATTAGGGTCAAGAGAGCAGTAGGAGATCCCCTCTCTCCTGCTTCAGCAGAGGGAGATCTGAAGTTGCTCCCAGCCCTTGTTTGTTTTCTCTTCACCTCTGCTTCTTCCATTCTGCTCCCCTGCTGCTCTGCATATGCCAAATCCTGCTCTCAGAGGTGCTCATCTCCAGCATTTCAAACATCAGGATTTCAGTCAGTTTCACTGTGCTGCTAGTTACACTCCAGGTGAAGCTGTGTGCAGCAACAGCACAGCCCAATACAGGAAAAGGAGATGAGGAAAACAATAGGGGAGAAAGGCCATAAGGGGAGGGTAAAAGAGTTCTACTAGGACCAAGATTCACAATGAAATGAAATACAAACTCAAAGTTTCAAAACTGGAGGAGGTTCTTCCACATGGCTCCATTTCCTCAAAAGGGACTTTTTCTCTAAACGTCTTCAATACATTGGATGGTACATATGAGAGTAGAACTCGGGGCCTTCCACTTCATATTATACTGAGATGAGCACAATAGCAGTGTCTAATACCAGTGACTTAACCTCTCTGGATACGTCTAGCTGCAGAGAGTCAGTCTTGCAGCCTGGGTTGACTGACTCACACTAGCAGGGCTCGGGCTAGCATACTGAAAATAGCTGTGTACACATTGCTTTGACATTTGTGCTTGGACTGGCCCTTGGGCTCTGAAGCCCACTCCCATCCATAGGCTTCAGAGCCCAATCTCCAAACTGAGCTGGAACATCCATATTCCTATTTTTAGCATCCTAGCGTGAGCCCCACTAGCACAAGTCTGTCAACCCAGGCTGTAAGACTTGCTCCCAGCAGGTGTGTTGACATACCCCATGTCTCCGTTTCCTCACTGGTAAAATGGGGATCATAAATCACTGGTGTCTGTAAACTGCTTTGAGATCCTCAGTTGGAAGGTGCTATAGAAGTGCAACATTATTTTTATTTCTCACTGGTCTAATGAAAACAAAAAATTCTAGTGCTTCGTATTGCCCTTGCAAGGGTCCAGAATTCCCATCCAGTTTGTTCCTGTATGGATAACTACACAAGACTGCTCTTTTTATACCCTGGCTTTGGGTCACTACTGTGATTCTTTTTTCCCCCAATAAGTGTAATTGATTACTCAGACTTTTATTTGTTATTACCTAAAGTGCCACATTCTGCCTGTAAATGGCTTTCTAAATGGCTTTCTTAAAATTCTTTGAAGTTTCTTGTTGCTACATGACTTGAAACAATGCCTTATATATGATCCCAAATCCATTTTGGAAGCACAGTTTTTATACCGATACAGGGCCAGATTCTGCCCTGACTTGCATGTTGTACTGCCCCATTGGATCAGATTCTGATCTCAGTTATACCAGAGAGAACGTCGAAAGAGGCAGAGATATAATAGGAAAACCAACTGACATGAGGGTATAAAATAATGCAGAGCCCGCTACCTTTCCTTACATGCTCCTAATAGATTATTTTTCTTTTCCTTTTTCCCTCTCCAGGTATAAATGATATTCATTTGGTATACTCATTTCAAATATCACTTTATCATTTATACCCATTTTTTCACTAACATACATGAATGCATAATTAACTGGCATGTAACTCAGTCCACTATTTTGGGTTAAATGAGGGAGCACCTGTTTAACCAAAAACCCTCAATGTTAGTTGTTTTTCCTCTATCCCACATCTGCCCTCTTCAGGCCAGATTTTTAAAAGAACTCAGCTCCCATTTAGGCATCAAAACAATCACAGAATATAAGAACGCCATACTGGGTCAGACCGATGGCCCATCTAGCCCAGTATCCTGTCTTTCAATAGTGGCCAATGTCAGATGCTTCAAAGGGAATAAACAAAGCAGGACATGTATCAAATGATCCATCCCCTGTTGTCCAGTCCCAGCAGCTGGCAGGAAGAGGCTTTGGGACACCCAGAATATGGGGTTGCATATCTGACCATCTTGGCTAATAGCCATTGATGGACCTATCCTGCATAAATTTATCCAATTCTTTTTTGAACCCAGTTATAGTTTTGGCCTTCACAACATCCCTGGCAACAAGTTCCACAGGTTGTGCGTTGTGTGAAGAAATGCTTCCTTTTGTTTCAGACCTCATGACAATTAATTTCATTGGGTGACCTGTAGTTCTAGTGTTATGTGCCAGGTTAAATAACATTCCTTATTCACTTTCTCCACACCATTCATGATTTTATAGACCTCTATCATATCCCCCATTAGTTGTCTCTTTTCCATGATGAACAGTCCCAATCTTTTTATTCTCTCCTCAGATGGGAGCTGTTCCATACCCCAATCATTTTTGTTACATTAGAAATGGAAACGGTACAGAGAAAAGTATCTTTTTTGAGATGGGGTGATCAGAACTGCAGGCAGTATTCAAGCTATGGGTGTACCATGGATTTATATGTTGACATTATATTTGTGATTATATTTTCCAATGTGCATTATTTTTCAATTAACATTGAATTTCATCTGCCATTTTGTTGCCCAGTCACCCAGTTTTGTGAGATCTCTTTGTAACTTTTTGCAGTCTGCTTTGAACTTAACTATCTTAAGCAATTTTCTATCATCTGAAACTTTGCCACTTCACTGTTTTCCCGTTTTTCCAGATCATTTATGAATATGTTGAACAGTACTGGTCTCAATACAGATCCCTGGGGAACACCACTATTTACTTCTCTCCATTCTGAAAAAACCTGTTTCCTATTTTTTAACCAGTTCCTGATCCATGAGAGGACTTTCCCTCTTATTCCATGACTGCTTAGTTTGCTTCAGAGCCTTTAGTGAGGGACCTTGTCAAAGGTTTTCTGAAAGTCCAAGTACACTATATCCACTGAATCAGCCTCTAATTGCCAGGATCGCCTCTGGATCAAGAAACTGAAAATAGCTCAACATATTGAGACCTGATCTATCTTGAAAATCTGGCCTTTATTTCAATGCCTAAATGGGAGCCGAGAGTTTTTGAATATCTGCTCCCACATGTGTAAGTTGCATTCATTTTTAAGCTGCTGCGGCTGCCAAAGTCTGAGCAGCTTACAACCAGCTACTAATAAACACCATAATTATCTCACCACTGATTTTGGGCCAGAGGCTTCCATGAGTGATGCATTCACTTCCAAATTTAGACTTGGTGTATCATAGCTTCTTAGGTCAAAATAGTAGAGTTAGTGCACTGGTCTTACAAATCAGGAAATCAGAATTCTATTCATGTTCTTGTAGTAGGCCCATTGTTGTGCTATACGGAGTGACCTTTACGCCTTTGTAAAAGCTGATTTTGTGCAAAGAAACATTTGGTGAAATTCAATTGGAAAAAAATCCAAGCATGGAGAAAAATGAAGTAGCTTTAGAGTTTAGGATCTGTTCTTGCATACTGTGGAGACCTCGTTAAAGTTTATTCCACTCTTTTTTGTAATAAATAACTCACGTCAGTAAATTGGTAAGAGGTAAGAAGGGCATGTAGTAGAAAAAGAAAGGAAGTGTATACATTTCTGGCCTGAATAAGAATTTTAGGCTGACTGAAGTTTGCAGTTAATAACTGCAGAAAAACACATTGAATCCTGAAAGATTGTTCCTGGCAAAAAAAAGTATGTACTGCAAAGATGTTTTCCTTGATTTTCCTAAATTATCTTATTATTATGGCTATGAAGGATTTTCACCCTTTACTTATCTCCATTGCATTGTTGTTTACAGGGAGACGATTTTTAAAAAACAAAAATAATATTAAGATGACAGAATATCAGATATTGCAAAGCTGTAATTGTGGAATCTATATGCCCTTCAGATCCCCCTAAAGACTGAGACACAAAAGTGCATTGGATTGAAGCTGGGCCCTGGTTCTACAAAGACTTACATTGGTGAGTATTGTGATCTGAGAGGGGCTATTCGTGTACATAAAGTTACGCACATGCATCAGTCTTTGCAAGATAATGGCCTTACTCAGCAAATTTCAACACCAAGTCAGTGTGATATTTGTTTACTGGAAATATTTCAGCCATCACAACTGATTTTAAAAGTAGTACAAATGGCAACTAAAAACAAGTTGAGAATTCCTCAGATCAAAACACATAAATCACTTTGAAAGGGATTTCTCCAAGTCATTTTTAATGAAACCGACAAGCAAACAAACCCTGTCTTGCTACTTTCACTGCCAACGAAAGGTTTACTGCTACAGTGTGGTGGCAGCCTGACAAACTCTTATTGTTGTGATGACTTAGTGAGCATTGCAATTGTCCCAGAAATATCATGCGTTTCCATCAGGGTAAAGGCGTTCAAATACAAACAAAATTAAGTGCCTAAAGGAGGAATGGAGGAACAAGAATTTATCAAGGCTGCCTGTGATTTATGAGACGTAATGATTATGGGGCCCAGACAGTGTGAAGAGATGATTCTATTTATCATCTTCTCCCTGATAGCTATGTGATAGAAACTAGCATCAATATATCACCAAAATATTAAATTGGTGGCCCTGCAGTCTGGCATTTATTTAGAGAGATGTCACTGCTGCAGGTGTCAGTGATGGAAGGGAGGACAAGTTAATTACCTCTTCACCAATCTGGATCTCCCGGACTGACCGAAGTAGAAGCTGGCGTCCCTCAAAAACAATCACACAGTTTGGGTCACAGCTGTGGTTCACGAGAGACATGCTGGCAGGGAGTGGGGGGAGAAACAGAGAACATTAGAGAGAAGGATCCTCCACTGCCAGTACCTCCTGAATTATTTAACATGAGCTGACTGAGTTACATCTAATGCACCAGGCAATCAGTTTATCAAACAAGGAAAATCCCTGGTAATCAAGTGTGGTCGGTTAGGTGAAGAAAATGAAGGTTTAGAAGATTTATATTAATTAATAATAGGAGCCCCGCCTTGATCATTCTCCTTGATCTGCACATGTGATCATTCCGCCGTCTCATGTTCTGCATGGAAAGGGCGGGGGGTGGGGGGGATGGGGTTGCTTCCTCCCTATGAGGGCTCTGTGTGAGGGGAAAGGGGTGGGCCAGGGCAGAGTATATAGGCTGGAGACAAGGGAATGTGTTTCATTCCCATTGCTCCCCCACCATATAGAATTCAGGGTAGAAATGGAATACATCCTGGAACTGTATTATATTTCTGTAGGTGGTACTGAAGGCATCAGGGATCCAACACCTCCCTTCGGATATTCTGGCCTCCAGAGGATCCATAGGATTTGTGGGGTGGCACTGCAGCCTGTTCCATGGTATGTGGGAGAGGGGAGTAGTACACACATCCACAAATGCATATGCCCTCCCATAGAACAATTTGGGAGGAAACTCTGAGGAGAGCCTCACTGACATCTTCTCTCCTTAGCCCCCTCTATTGGAGGAGATGGTTTACAGTAATTTGTCTCTCTCTCTGTTTTGCATTCCCATGTAACGATGTCTTAGCACTGAATGTGACTCTACCAGTCAGCCCTCAATTGCATAACACCCAGGGCAGGAGCTTGCCCTGTCATGGTGATGGTCTACTGAACCCTTCATTAAAAAATTCCAGTATCATCAGGGTGGAATCGGATTTTGGCTCACAGCCCTTGTCCCTGTACTAACAAGTAAATTCAACCCAGCACCTTTGTGTAAACCCACATTAACAAAATGTGGCTCTCTGTCCCGTTCCAGTAGTTAGACTGTGTACAGAGGTCTAAGCTATTGCCTTTGAGGTAATGGGTCTGGTCTGTTAGCTCAAGCAATAGATGCTCATGATTTTAGATCCAGAAAGGCTGTAGTTCAATTCCCATGGAAAATTCAACTAGGACAGTTCTTATACTGAGTATCTCTTGGATAACTTGCTTTTTGATTGCTAATAGGGGGTATCTAGCACTTAGCCACCAACCACCTCTCTGCCAATGTCCATCTTTGACTACTAGGCCTTCAGGCAGACATTACCAAGGGACCACGGAGGACTGGATACTGAGAGAAGGTATGCGACCAGGGGAAATGGGATGGGATGTGATCTCTCCAGGAAAAAAAGCTGACGCACTGAGTGCCAGATCCTGCATGGTCACACCTCTTTTCCCATGTTCTGGAGGACGTTGAGAATGAGAGGGAGCCTGTAAAATACATTCAGCAGATCTCCAATCCAGCTAACGGAGAAGGAGACACCAGGAGGGAAGAGCAGCTGTGTGATGTGAAACCCTTCAGAGACAGCCCCTCCAAAGCTGTACATGAAAGGGAGCAAGGATAGATTGGCCACCCTGCAGGGCTCCTTTCTTTCTTTATCATACTCAGCGGATTCAGTGTTGATGGGAGTGACCTTTCTGTCACCCAGAATGGAAGCTGTTCTGGTAGACCAGGTGGAAGGCTTTGCCAAGGGTTGCACTGAACCATTTCTGGCCCCAGTCCTGCACTGAACCATACAGAAGCCCCTACGAATCTTGAGGAGGTCAAAGAAACCTATCTAGGTAAGGGAGCTCTCATCTGACCATCAGCCCCTGTGCACTAAGGAGATAGCTGGGAACAGGAGGACAGAACACCAACATCTGAGATTTGTACCTTATCCATTTCTAATGCATCTTTTCTGAGATGGGGCGATCAGAACTGCATGCAGTATCAAGGTGTGGGCGTACCAAAGTGTCATTATAATATTTTCTTGATTACTCTTAATTTTCATATCTAAAATCCTATATTTCCTTTCAATGTGACAAAACGAAAGGTGGTGGGCTGCAAAAACCCTATTCTTTCAAGGAAATATTTACCCAAGCTTCTTGCTACTTTCTTAAGAAGCCCAAGTCTCATGTTTTAGCAGCAAAATTTATCCTTACCCCTGCCAGGAAGAGATTAGGGTCTCCATGAGAACAAGAATTCAGGTATAAAGAGCTGTCCTGTCTAAATTATGTTAAAACTCTGCAATTAGGAGTTTAAAAATATTTTTAAACTCAATCGTGTTTTTCATGTTCTTGTAATTTATTTGCATTTCCTAATTTCTTATTTAGCTATGGTATCGGCTACTTCAGTGACCCCTCTAGCTAGCTAGAAATAAATAAATAAATAAAAAAAGCCACACACAGAGTTTTTGCCTGTGAATGAAACAGTGTCCACAGTACCTGGGATACAGGCCAACACCAACATCCTGCATTTCTCCATTACTGATGGTGAAACAGTTACAGGTCACCTGTAAAAACAAGGGGGGAAATCCAGGATTACCAGTGTTATTTAGAAATGTCATACCTAAGTGAAAGAAACTTTCAAAATAAAATGCAGGGGCATTTTGGTAATCAGATTGCAGATATTCAAGCCCAACACTGATACTCTTTCATTTTAGAGCAATCACATCTGGGACACACACTCCTGTAAAACTACAGTCAATTAAGAGCAGAAATATTAGTATCCTGCAAAAATGTGAGGTTAAACACATGCAGAGGCCCTATTTTCCTGTCCGGGGGGAAGAGAGGGGGAAATACATGAAGCCTGAAAAGCATGGCATATAGACAATATAGTGGGGAACAGTGACTGTTGGGGCTATACAGAGTAGATGTTTCAGACCAGACTTGTGTCAAGCTGCCACAGTACAGTTTATGAAAAACAGTGGAGCCCCAAGAATGAACCACAGCTTTGAGGTACATGGCTACACTGACTGGGGAAATATGGCTTGTGCCTGTGTAAACACAAAGAGTGAGTACCTGATGGGTGATCTCTTGCATGACATTTATTTTCATGAGTGGGGAAAGGAGGGATAACTCAAATGGGGAAGGTACAAGACATCTTATTTTAAATTATTCTCACAGGAAAAGAGAAATACCTTCTTCCATTTTATATCGCATACCCAACTATATAGTGTGTTTTTCTCTCATACAGTTTTCAGGGTTGAAATGGATTTAGAACTGAGATGAGAAAAGTAATAATTGCTTGCAACTAGAGAAGGCCCCAAACTAAAACCCTGGATCTGAACTTTGGTGGTGTTCAAAATCCAAACCTGGATCCAAATTTTGCAAATGACCACTGTTGTTATAATGTATCGACCCAAAAACTAGAATGCAAAGACGTGCTGCATTTTCAAGTATTCCAAATCTGGATCTGAATTCTGTGTTAGAGTCCATCTGACTTTATTTGGAATAAAGGAGGAGAAATACTTTTTAATTTTTTGATAACATGTGAGGTATGTCATGTCATCAGTTACATACTAATAAAAAGCGCCCTACCAAATTCACGGCCATGAAAAATGTGTCACGGACCGTGAAATCTGGTCTTCTCCCACGAAATCTGGTCTTCTGTGTGCTTTTACCCTATATTATACATATTTCACAGAGGAGACCAGCGTTTCTCAAATTGGGAGTCCTGACCCAAAAGGGAGTTGCTTTTGGTTATGTTAGGGAGGTCAGAGTATCGCCACCCTTAGTTCTGCGCTGCCTTCAGAGCTGGGCAGCCGTAGAGCGGCAGCTGTTGGCCAGGCGCCCAGCTCTGAAGGCAGCGCCCCGCCACTAGCAGTGCAGAAGTAAGGGATACCATAATAATACCATACCCTGCCACCTTTACTTCTGTGCTGCTGCTGGAGGCGGCTCTGCCTCCAGAGCTGGGATCCCGGCCAGCAGCCGCCGCTTTCCAGCAGCAGCGCAGAAGTAAGCAGGGCTTTGGAGCGGAGCCTGGAGCAGGAGCACAGACCAGTAGGTTTTTGCCCGGAGCTGGACTGGAACCGGAGCAGAGCAATTCAAAAATTTGATTGCTCCAAATCCCTGGAAGTAAGGGTAGCAGTACCGCAACCCCCCCTACGATAACCTTGCGACCCCCCACCCCAACTCCTTTTGGGGTCAGGACTCCTACTATTACAACACCGTGAAATTTTAGATTTAAATAGCTGAAATCATGACATTTATGATTTTTAAAATCCTATGACCATGAAATTGACCAAAATGGACTGTGAATTTGGTCCCTTTTCTTTGCAAACATTTCTGTTTAAAGGAACATGACTAGTTATAACAGTCTATAAGGGTATGTCTACACACTAAAGAAAAACCCGCAACTAGCCCCTGCCAGCAGACTTGGGCTTGCAGGGCTCAGGCTGCGGGGCTGTTTCATTGCTGTGTAGACTTCTGGGATCGAACTGAAGCCCAGGCTTTAGGACCAGGAGGGGGTGGGAGGGTCACAGAACTTGGGCTGCAGCCCGAGCCCAGAAGTCTACACAGCAACGAAACACCTCTGCAGCCCAAGCCCAAGTTGGGTTTTTCTTTGCGGTGTAGACAACACATACCCTAAGATAAACAAGAAAAATGTCTGAATCTTTTTTTTTTTTAAGTTTGATTTTCCATTGGCATTGATAATTCTCTGCAGAGTGGGAGATCTGGCAGGTGTGAGTTTTGATAAATCACTGAGTTTCTTCATACAATATAATCGCCCTGAAATTCATGTCTAATTTAAAGAAATACACTGAAAAATATAATATTATATTTTACCTATGGAACTCACAAATTAATAATTGCCAATGTGTTAACCATAAAGAGAAAAATAAAATTATCCTTCAGAATCTTCTAATAAAATCTGATTTAAACGAAGATATATGCAGTAAGGTATGCCTTTTAATGGTTAGATAATAATAATTAGTCTGTTATTTATGTAACCCTTACAAACATTCCTGATCACTTACAAAAAACATACATCTTAATTATTTCTCTCCTACTGATATTAGATATATAATACCAGACAACACTTCCAAATTAAGATTAGGCCTTGTTAAGTAGCAATTATATATCTTACAAAAATATTGTCTTGACTTTGGTATATAGTGAAAGAATAGATTGCCAGGTTTCTTCTCTGTACTGGATTATGCAATAAAAAAGGTCATTGATAGTAGATCTAAATTCATCCCCTCTCTCCAGAAAATCTGCTATGGTATCTTGCTCATTATCATAAAGTATTTACATTAACTATGTGGACTCCTGAACAGTGCAGATTTTGTGGAGACCTTTTACTGTTTCCCAATAAGTCTAGTTATTTTTGTAGTGTCAGGTGAAAAATGTTTACACACAAAGGGAAAACAACAAATTTTACTTTCCCCTATTTTTGTAAACATGCACAAGTTGTGGATTTTCATTACAAAATGTGTTTTACCAAGGTAAAAAGAAGATATGCTTCTAGACTCAAACACTGTGAACTTGGGAAGTTTAAGTCCTGATAAGAAACTTGGTAACTCCAAGACTATTGAAATATACTTTTTTCAGGGCAGTTAGTTACAAGAAGCAAGTTTAGCTATAATGTTCACTGACAGGAAATATCATGCGTCAGAAGAAAGGAACACCCAGAGGATGACCAAGGCAAATTCTGAGTTCTAGGAGAGCTCTACCCTTTTGACACCCATAAGCTCAACAGTAGGATCCAATTGCCTTTGAGTCCCTGCCCACCTCAGTTCCATGATGAGATGTCTCTACTCCTGAGATAACTAAACCATTTAAGGCTTAATCAGAACCTAGAACTGCACCTAGCAGCAAAGTGACAGTCTCTGAAGAGCACAGGTATAATATGCTCTTGTTATCTACCCTACCTTAAAAGCATAAGGGACATATTCTCTTCTGGCTGAAGCTTCTGGGTGCTTGTGGTGAAGTGTACAATTCCCACACTGGCCAACACAGGATTAATAAGCAGGTGGCCCTGCCCTGCCACACCAGTGAGAGAGATCTGATTTGGAGGGAGGAGCTTAAAAGGGAAAAGCACACCACAGTTGGCAGCAGAGCTAAAAGTGCTGTAAGAAATGAAAGGATATAGACAGAAATTTCCTTGAGTGAACAGGAATTCAAAAGCCTAGTACAGAACAATTTAAAAAAGGAATGACAAAAAATCTGTATCAACAAAAAAAGAGGAAGATGATCTTTTTGAATTGTGTCCTAGAGTTGAGGATAATGACATACGTCAGGCTCAGGAAAGGAAAAATGAAGCGTTTTTGTTTAGAGTACTTACAGGCTATTGCGACTTAAACAAAAATAAATAAACACAAAGATGGGCTATGTGAGCACTGTAAGGCCGAAGAAACAATTGATCACCTTTATGGGTATGTAAGGACTTTGATAAAGAAAAAGAAAAGATTTCTGAGAAATTTAAAAGGCATAAGGTAGCAAAAGTTACATTACATCATTTAGTAAAAATATTGGGGAAATGGGGTTGTTACAATACCCGAAAAACATAGGGCAGAACAAGAAAATATAAACCATTAGGTATTTAGGAATTAGAGTTGGTAGAGGATGTAAACCAGTGGTGGGCAACCTATGGACTGTGGGCTGCAAGCGGCCCATCAGGGTAATCTGCTAGCAGGCTGCCAGACAGTTTGTTTACATTTGCACGGCTGCCCGTGCCATTTCCTGCAGCTCCCATTGGCCGAGAATGGCGAACCACAGCCACTGGGAGCTGCGGGCGACCATGCAAATGTAAACAAACTGTCTGGCAGCCCCCCAGCGGCTTACCCTGATGGGCCGCAGGTTGCCCACCACTGATGTAGACCATCTAGTCAAGTCTGCTTCTCCATGAAATAGAAAAAAAGAAAAGTTGGTGGCAGATGGGAGAGAGGGCTGGCTAAAGGCAAGCGCTCCTCACCTAACTGTTCCCTGATGGCCCCTCCCTCAAGAAAGATACATCTTTTGAGGAGACTATTTCTCCATATCAGTCTGTGAGCCTAGTTGTGGCCGCAACTCAACAAAAGCCTCTCTGAAGGCAGAGGGATGAACCACATCCTGGGACAATTCATTTGTGTTTCTTTTGTAGTTGTTGAGAACCCTGGAAAGGGCAAGGCTAGCTGTTCAAGGCTGAGGCTCTTACGACTGGTTGGTGTGTTGGAACATCCAGTGTTACAGGGTGGCTTGCCTCTTAAGGGCTGGAAGGCTGGGGCTAGTCAGCCCTGGTTACAGAATGAGGCAAACCTGGGTTGAATCAGGTAATTCCCTGTAAAGGGCAGCAGATGCCTCCAGTGAAGGGGGATGTTCAGGGAGATAAAATATTCCTAGGCATGACCAGGCTCCAGCAGAGATTCCTGGGACTGAGACTCCAGGCAGGGAGGCGCTGGGAGTGGCCGGCTACAACAGGAAAGGTTCCAGGCAAGAAGGCCTGGGAGTAGGGTGATCAGAGACTGCTAGGAGTGAGCAGGCTCCAGCAGAGTGTCCCGGAAGATGGGACTGAGACTATAGGCAGGAAAGG